GACTTTTTTCCTTTGTAATACTGGTTATTTCAAGCATTCCTGTCAAGTTTTGTCATAATCAGTTCAATAGTTTGAGAAAAATCTAGTATAATGTAAGACGACATCTACAGCGATTCGAGCAAAATTTCTTCGAAAAAATCCAAACCAAGCCACATCATGATAGAATATAGTGTGGACCAATAAATGATCAAATATTTATCTCATCTGCCTACAAACAGTTGAATGTGATACAAGAGATGACTTTAGGATGATAAATACTACTAATGGACCTCTTTGTCTTCCTTATAAGGTCTCTTTTGGTCCATTTATACCTCTCATTTCCTCAAAATTTCTACTTTTTAGGCTAATAAATAAAAAATTGGGGGTAACTTTCATTCATTTATGATAGAAATGTTATATAAATGATTAATTGAAGTATTCAAGCTGAATGAACTATCCGTATAAAAGTTTACTGTCTCCAAGGAGGTTTCAATAAGTCCTTACGTAAAACTTAAATTTACGCCGCATTCCAGAGAGGGACATAAAAAGCTTCTCTTTTGGTGAATAATTTGTTGTTACTGCTTTAAAAATAATTTCATTTATTTCAAACTATATATTTGTTAAAGTATTTCTTGGGAAAAATTTTCTAGTATAGCAGAATATAAGAAATAAGGAGAAAAAGCTCTCCAAAACTCAAAGTATGGCTTGTTCTGTCAACTAATATTCATGGTAAAGTCCTATTTCAAGGAAATTTTCTCATTAAATGTGTTTTGGAGACTCAATCCACTCAGAATATTTCATTATTTGTATTATTTCACTTAAATAGCAAGAAATTTTAACACATGAGAGTACTCACAAGGTCAAAAGTGCATGTACAGCTTCCAATATTAGGTGTAATACCACCATTGATTTTCCACTATTAGTCTTTGTTAAATTTGCACTTTTCAAAAAATTGTGCAGAATTTATCTTTGTTTCAAATAAAGAAATACTTGGCATGAGTAAAGTTTTATCCTGTCCAGTACTATAGAAAAAAATTCACATAACATTTCATTGCATATAAGAAAATAACCATCACTGGAAGTTAACCAATCAAATTTTCCCCCTTTTTTAACCTGTGTACAAGCTTTAGTAACCATGTAACCTCAAGTTTCCAAAATATTCTATAGAAACCCCAAATAAAAAAATAATGGTGCTTTGAAATACCCAAGATATATGTTTATGACCCAGAAATGTTTTACTGCAATGAAATGTAGGATCAATTACCTACAACTGTCAAATTCAAGGGAATATTTTTTTTCGACCTATTTTCGTATGCAACCGGATGTGACTTACTATGATTTGGTGGTATTACACCTTAATGCCCCCTCCGCTACGGCGAGGACATAAAAATGTATTTTTATATGAAATATATAGCAAAATTTGTACTGTGAGTGAAAAATCTTTACGACCATGTTTTTCCTACCTTGTCATTGTTAAAGCTATGATAAATTGTGATAATGAACATTTACCATTTAATTCTAATTTTAAATCAAGCTAGAAATAGGGGCCAATATTGGGGCCTTATCAAACACATCTATGCTCTCTTTTTTTGTAATCAAATACATGGTTAACTCAATAAAGAAATTTTGTAAACTTTTGTTCTTTATCAAGTGTAAGAGATTTTTAGTAAACAATTTTTTGTATATATGCATATGATGAACCAATACAAAGATGTATGCCTAAATGTAGATTGGAAGATATTCAAATCAGATTTAACAGATTTAACAGATCTATAAATGTACAATATTGACAAACAAGGGTAAAATTATTTGCTCTAGTTAACATTTGAAGTGGGACATAAAAAATATCACTAAAAAGAGGATAAATGGTTTATATATATATGTATATATAAAAATAAGTAGATGTGATATGATTGCCAATGAGACAACTATCCACCAGAGTTCCAATAAGTGGATATAAGCAATTATATAGATATAAGAAGATGTGGTATGAGTGCCAATGAGACAACTCTCCATCCAAGTCAAAATTTATAAAAGTAAACCATTATACTTATTATAACAAATAAAACTTCTCAAGTGTAAAAAATGTACCTATAACAGGCTATTATTTCAACTTGGAATTATTTTTAATTATGGAATTTGCATAATTTCTTGTGCTTGAAATTTTTAATAAATTCCATGTTTATTCTGTATTATAATGTTTTGAGAGGTGCATAACACTTTCCATACAATGTATTTTGTATAGATAGTGTTGTGCGCCGGACAGTACATTCTATTGAAAATGTGCATTCTTCTTTGTAATAGAAAGTGTTGTGCGCCGCACAGAACATTAAAATACAGAATAAACATGGAATTTATTAAAATTTTCAAGCACAAGAAATTAAGCAAATTCCATAATTAAAAATAATTCCAAGTTGAAATAATAGCCTGTTCTATATTAAATTTCTTTCAAACATATATGGTAAGTATCTTCCATGTGCTTAAACACAATATTCACAAAAAGAAAACACAAATTAATAAGTCTGATGTATCTATTAACCCATATCAGATATAACAAAATTAATATTTATTTTCATATAAAAATAAAATGCTCCGCTGGGCACAGCTTGATACGACCGCAGAGGTCGAACCCTGAACAGTTGGGGCAAGTATGGACACAACATTCAAGCTTGATACAGCACTGTATTTAGATTGTGATTAAATATTTGACACAGCATAGGTTTCTGACACAGAATGAATGTGGTCTAAGAACTTAAAATTTTTAATTTACCTATTCAAACCATATCATTATTATTTGCTTTTATATATAAATCAGAAATAACCAATTTAAAATGGAAAATTTTAAAGAAAAAAATGGAAAAAAAAATCCCCCCCCCCAAATTTTTTGAACCCCCTTATGATTCATCACCCCCAAACTCAATCCCAGCCTTCCCTTTGAGGTATGGTACCTTGCAGTACACTACAATTTCAGAGAGATCCATACACTTGAACACAAGTTATTGTCTGGAAATTAGAAAAATGCTCATTTTTGGCCCCTTTTTTGGCCCCAAATTCCTAAAATTTTGAGGCAATTACCCCCAAAATCAATCCCAGCCTTCCCTTTGTGGTATGGTACCTTGCAGTACAATTTCAGAGAGATCAATACACTTGAACACAATTTATCGTCTGGAAACTAGAAAAATGCTTATTTTTGGCCCCTTATTCCTAAACGTTTTGGGCAATTACCCCCAAACTCAATTCCAGCTTTCCCTTTGTGATATGGAACCTTGTAGTACAATTTCAGAAAGATCCATACACCTACACACAAGTTATTGTCATGAAACTAGAAAAATGCTTGTTTTTTGCCCCTTTTTTGGCCCCTAATTCCTAAAATTTGGAGGCAATTACCCCCAAAATCAATCCAAGCATTCCCTTTGTGATATGGAACCTTGTGGTACAATGTCAGAGAGATCCATACACTAACACACAAGTTATGTCTGGAAGTTACAAAAATGCTTATTTTTGGCCCCTTTTTGGCCCCTTATTCCTTAACTGTTGGTACCATAACCCCCAAAATCAATCCCAACCTTCCTTTTGTGGTATTGAACCTTATGGTAAAATTTCATAGAGATCCATACACTTGAACAAAAGTAAGAGTGCGAAAACCAATATGTCTTCGTATGTCGATGACGACAACGACTCCAACGTCATACCAATATCTGACCGCAAAATTTGTTTGCGGTCGTATAAAAAACGAAAGTACACATATAGTAAACATGCAATTCATGAACTAACATTTTTTTTGGAAAATGGGTTCTCTGGAATAAAAAGTTAACTTGTTTATGATATTTGTGCACTGAACTTGATAACACAATTTTAGTATAAAAATAAAAAAAAAAAAGAATTTCTTGGTCCAAACAGCAAACCATGGTGTACTAATCTATCTGTATAACAAAGGAAGATGTGCAAGTTTTTATAAGTCAAAACCTCAGTTGAGTCTTACCTTGATCAGTAGTTTGTGAAGTGTACATTGCAAATGATTTTATTTTCTTTAGTAATCCTACACATTCAATCATTGGGGTTGGTTCACAATCATTGGGGTTGGTTCACAATCATTGGGGTTGGTTCACAATCATTGGGGTTGGTTCACAGGTGCTCTTAAAACCATAGCCATGAAAACATTAGATATTTGTCAAATCTACTTATCTCTCCATGAAATAGCGTAACGATACTAATCATGATAGCTTTGTCAAAAAATATAATGGGATAAAAGGGTATGTGGGGTGTACTATACGTCTCAGCTACTCATTCTTCTAGTCTATAACATATATTTTGCACATGAGCCTTACCTTGTTTGGTAGTCTAAGACTTGTACCTTAGACATAAGTCAACCTTGTTTGGTAGTCTGAGACTTGTACTTTAGACATAAGTCAACCTTGTTTGGTAGTCTTGGACTTGTACCTTAGACATAAGTCAACCTTGTTTGGTAGTCTGGGACTTGTATCTAACACACAAATATTTCCTTTTTGCAGCCTGGGACTAGTATCTTGCACATGAGTCTTACATGTTTTGGTAGTCATGGACTTGTACCTTGCACACAATTTTTTTGGTATTCTAGAACTTGTATCTGTGTACATAATCTTACCATGTTTGATAGTCTTGGACCTTTATATGTACACATAATTCTTACCATGTGTGGTAGTCTTGGACCTTTATCTTGATTATAATTCTTACCATGTGTAGTAGTCTTGGACCTTTATCATGATTATAATTCTTACCATGTTTGGTAGTCTTGGACCTGTATCTTGATTATAATTCTTACCATTTGTGGTAGTCTTGGACCTGTATCTTGTACATATGTCTTACCATGTTTGGTAGTATAAGACCTGTATCTTGTACATATGTTTTACCATGTTTGGTAGTCTTAGATCTGTATCTTGTACATATGTTTTACCATGTTTGGTAGTCTTAGACCTGTATCTTGTACATATGTCTTACCATGTTTGGAAGTCTGGGACCTGTAACTTGTACATATGTCTTACCATGTTTGGAAGTCTGGGACCTGTAGTGTGAGAACATACTCCACAGTCGTTTTCCTACAAACTGTATCACAAAAGTCAGACAGGCCAACAGAAGCAATGCCTTGACCAAAATTTGAACCAACATCCATGGTTCTGAAATTAAAGAAAATTAGTCAAAATATTTACTTATAAAAATTGAACTGTATTTCTCAAGTATCGAGCATTGAATATCCACAACATACATGTACATTAACATACACATATAGATATAGATAAAACTAAGTCTGAAGCTTTACAATATTAGAGTGGTTTAAGAGAAAACTATAAATGATGTCTTGGAAACAATGGCAACAAGGAAATTGATGGTCAAGTGGTCAACACTGAGGTTGTGAGTCCAAAACCCTGCACTTCGCAGGTGCATTATAAATGGTTCTGAAAATAAAGAAGAATAAGTCAAAATATTTATTATGAAAATTTGAACTGTATTTTTCAAGTATTTAACTTTAAATATCCACAACATACATTAACACATACAAATGGATACAGATCAAACTAAGTATGAAGCTTTACAGTATAAGACCGATTCAAGAACAAACTAGAAATGATATCTTGGAATAAATGGAAACAAGGAAATCGTTGGTCAAGTAGTCAACATTGAAGTTGTGAGTTCAAATCCTCACACTTGGTATGTGCAACTGACTCCAATCTTAATTGACAAGGATTGCCAGTTTTCCTGCCAAAGAATGATGGTTCTCTCCAGGCACAAACTGACCTCAATGATATAGCCAATAGTGCTGAAAGTGGTGTTAAACACCAACAATTAATCAGTCTGAAAATTTGAATTCTAAATGCAATACAAAATTAAAAAACAACCCTGCACATCACTAAATACATGACAAAGACTGATACTTTATTACATATCACTATAAAGACCTCCAATAAAAATAAAAGAAGAATAGGCCAACATTCTAAGTTCAAAAGGGCATAATGTAATCATAATTTCCTGATGATATGCACATCTACATAGAATGTCCTAATTTACTACAAAGTTTCATGAAATTCTGTTGTGTGGTTTCAGAGGAGTTGCGATGACAAACTGTTGCAGTACCAATTTAGGCCCAAATTCTAAGTTCAAAGGGCATAACTCCTAGAAAAAAAGTTAAATAAAAATTTCCTGTTGATATGCACATCAACATAGTATGTCCTTATTATCTACAAAATTTCATGAAATTCTGTTGTGTGGTTTCAGAGGAGTTCGTCATGATAAGAACAGGACTGACAGACGGACTGACGGACAGACAGACAGAAGGACAGGTCAAAAACATTATACCCTATAGAACTTTGTTCCATGGGGTATAAAAATGAAAGAGACATTCTGGAAATAAGGTTTATTTTTGGGGTTTTTTCAACCACATAATTAATGTTGTCTGCTGAGCTTTTTGTTTGGGTTGTTGTCTCTTTGACATATTCCCCATTTCCATTCTCAATTTTATTTAAGGTTTATCAAACAAACAAATTTACAAAAAATCTAAGATCAAGTTTAGGAATTGTATTGTTGGATTTTGTAAATATCAGTTTTAGTCCTTTCAGGCAAAGTAGATTTTTTATGGATACGTTTTGTTGTAGTTGTATTTCAATTCATTCACATTTATTCCTGCAGGAAGTTTAATTTAATCCAGGACATGCATGTATCCTTCTCAAACAATATACTTTTTTAGTTCTTAAAGTGAATCTTAGGATGAGCATACATGTATCCTTCTCAAACAATATACTTTTCTAGTTCTTAAAGTGAATCTTAGGATGGGCATACATGTATCCTTCTCAAACAATATACTTTTCTAGTTCTTAAAGTGAATCTCAGTATGGGCATACATGCATACTTCTCAAACAATATACTTTTCTAGTTCTTTAAGTGAATCTTAGGATGGGCATACATGTATCCTTCTCAAACAATATACTTTTTTAATTCTTAAAGTGAATCTTAGGATGGGCATACATGCCTATTTCTCAAACAATATACTTTTTTAGTTCTTAAAGTGAATCTTAGGATGGGCATACATGTATCCTTCTCAAACAATATACTTTTCTAGTTCTTAAAGTGAATCTTAGGATGGGCATACATGTATCTTTCTCAAACAATATACTTTTTTAATTCTTAAAGTGAATCTTAGGATGGGCATACATGCCTATTTCTCAAACAATATACTTTTTTAGTTCTCAAAGTGAATCTTAGGATGGGCATACATGTATCCTTCTCAAACAATATTCTTTTCTAGTTCTAAAAGTGAATCTTAGGATGGGCATACATGTATCCTTCTCAAACAATATACTTTTTTAGTTCTTAAAGTGAATCTTTGGATGGGCATACATGTATCCTTCTCAAACAATATTCTTTTCTAGTTCTAAAAGTGAATCTTAGGATGGGCATACATGTATCCTTCTCAAACAATATTCTTTTCTAGTTCTAAAATTAGGATAGGCATACATGTATCCTTCTCAAACAATATTCTTTTTTAATTCTTAAAGTGAATCTTAGGATGAGCATACATGTATCCTTCTCAAACAATATACTTTTTTAGTTCTCAAAGTGAATCTTAGGATGGGCATACATGTATCCTTCTCAAACAATATTCTTTTCTAGTTCTAAAAGTGAATCTTAGGATGGGCATACATGTATCCTTCTCAAACAATATACTTTTTTAGTTCTTAAAGTGAATCTTAGGATGGGCATACATGTATCCTTCTCAAACAATATTCTTTTCTAGTTCTAAAATTAGGATAGGCATACATGTATCCTTCTCAAACAATATACTTTTTTAGTTCTTAAAGTGAATCTTAGGATGGGCATACATGTATCCTTCTCAAACAATATTCTTTTTTAATTCTTAAAGTGAATCTTAGGATGGGAATACATGTATCCTTCTCAAACAATATACTTTTTTAATTCTTAAAGTGAATCTTAGGATGAGCATACATGTATCCTTCTCAAACAATATACTAGGAAACAGATTAATATAAGCTAACAGCTTGTTTCTGGATCCTATTAACTATTCACTTGTATTAATATGTAAATGCCAATTTGTGTACATTACTTAACCTGAATTTAATTAATAAAATATGTTTACACTAAACAATATACTTTTTTAGTTCTTAAAGTGAATCTTAGGATGGGCATACATGCATATTTCTCAAACAATATTCTTTTTTAGTTCTTAAAGTGAATCTTAGGATGGGCATACATGCATCCTTCTCAAACAATATACTTTTCTAGTTCTTAAAGTGAATCTCAGGATGGGCATACATGCATACTTCTCAAACAATATACTTTTTTAGTTCTCAAAGTAAATCTTAGGATGGGCATACATGCATATTTCTCAAACAATATACTTTTTTAGTTCTTAATGTGAACCTCAGGATGGGCATACATGTTATTTCAATTTTGGACTAGCAAACTGTGTGAAAAATAAATGGAGAATGTGTCCATGGGACACAGATGATGCCCCTGCTTGCATATAACGTTATAAAAGGGTGTAACTCAAGAACAGTAAAAGTGACACCATCCAAATTCAAACTTGATCTGGGTTTTGTTGTACATTGTGTAATAAGCATCATGTATAATTTCATAATATTTGGTTGAGGCAAACAAAAGTTAGAGAATGGAAACGAAAAATTCAGCAATTTTTCCATATATAAAGGGGCATAATTCCAGAACGGTAGAAGTGACGCCACCCAAAATCCAAATTTGATCTGTGTTTTGAGGTATTAAGCATTGTGTATAAGTTTCATAACATTTGGTAGAGGCAAATGAAAGTTAGAAAACAGAATCTATATTTGGGATGTATGTACTTAAGGACATACAGACAGACAGACAGACAAGGGTAACACTTAATGCTCCCTCAGCAGCAGCAGGAGCTTAAACATCGTTAGTAACAAAATTATGCAGAAAAACATTATTTTATAGGTCTTCAGTTTTGATGGTGCATTATTTAAGTTCATGGGCATTTCATATACTAGATGTAAGGAAATAATTGTAGCATAAACCATTCACATATTAACAATTTTTCTTGCAAATTATATATTTTAATTTGAATTCATAAATATCTGTTTAAAAGTGTTAGGTTTCTGAAACTATTGTCAATATAAACTAGAACTTCCATGCTGAAAACTAAAATTACTCAGGTGCAACTAAGGTAAATCATGGTAAATATATTATCAATATTAACTAGTACTTCTATGCTGAAACTAAAATTACTCGGGTGCAACTAAGGTAAATCTATGGTAAAGTCACATGACTCGTACTGATTTACCTGATTTACATTTATTTCCATATCTTATATTTTTTTTTAAAGATCTTGAAATAACTAAAATAACCTGTACAATTACAAGAAAATTAGAAAATTGGTTAGTACATGAAAGCTTTATACTGCAAATATGCTGCATTTTTCTATTTAACAGAAATCATGGATTATCCCCACCTAATTGTAATTATATCCTTTAGACATAATAGATTATGCTAGGAACACACACATGTCACACTCCTATTTAAGTCCTGTTATATATCTTACTAATAACTTAAAACTATGACAATTGTAAAATTATATCCTTCTTGAACAATGTTTTGACATTTACAAAAGGGATGTAGACAGATGATCAGATAATCACCTTTGTGGCCTCATAATTACATTCATTTATATTTTTGTAAAGAGGAATAAATTTTGATAGGATACAAGGATATAGGGCAGCTTACTATATGAAAATTAAGTAGTTTTTTCTGTACATTATATAATTTGTCATGCTAAATTACATATATTTCCAATTTCCTTAATGGCATTTCTAAACTTAACAAAAAGGCTATACTTTGGATTCATTATTATTCGTTGGGTACCAATTTTCGCCCCAAGGGTGACTGGGGAATAGAAGTATGGTCACCATTGGTCTTCCTCCGACCGGCAGTAAAACCCTTGCTAAAGTGGGGCGTCCGTTTGGCTGTGCGGGATGTACAAATTTGCAGCCACGTCCGGTCAGAATGGGGACGTTAAATCCGATGCCTCGTGTCAAGAGAGTGCCACGCTCTTTGCACGTTAAGAACCCTTGCAACAACTCTTTGAGGGGTCCGTAGGTGACCTGTTGCAAGGCTAAATTTCTGTCCCTATCCAATATACCCTCATTTCCCGTGGCAGTCCAAATTTCTCCGACCTTAATCCCGGAAGCCCCTATTACAGAACCTACCTATTGTATTTATTGTTAACTTGTTCTCGTCCTGAATATGCATGAAATATTTGCCACTGGACGTTAAGCAACCAACAATCAATCAATCAAACCAATTTTCGTGGATTTCATGGGCAGGTAAACCACGAATTTAAAGGTTCAACGAATTACACATTATCTTTAAGATTGTATGGCAAAACCACAAAATCAAGTATCCATGAAATTGCAAGTTTTCCTCAATCCACGAAAATTGGTACCCACGAAAATAAATGAATCGACAGTATATAAAGAGCAGCTTTTATAAAATTAGTTTTAATTATTTGTTGTATTATAAAGTCTTTTCAATAATGAGCTTAATCCAGTTTTATCACTGGTACGTCATTGTGCTCAAGATTAATATAATCACATACAAACTTGATTTTTTACATATTTGATGGTATTATTGAATCCTAGATAATCTTGAATGTGGGTATATTGTGAATGTGGGTTTACTGTGGTATACATATGGAGTTGTTTTTCACTTATTCCATTGATTGATAACGTTTGATTTTGTCCTAAATTCTGGATTATAATAAAATATTATAATATAAAAATAAGAAGATGTGGTATGATTGCCAATGAGACAACTCTCCACCAGAGACCAAATGACATAGAAGTTAACAACTATAGGTCAACGTATGGCCTTCAACAATGACCTACCCTTAGACCATATATCTAATTCATAGTTTTGTAGAAAATATATTCCATAAATAAATCAATTCAAAACTAACTATCATCTCCCTGCACATTACAAATTAAGCCCTTGCTATTGGCACATTATAATGAAAATCTTTCAACTAAATTTGAAAAACATATACATTCTTATTATGACCAAATTACAATAGCAAGGAATTTAATGAGGCATACCGTTTTTTCCTCTCAAAAAACAACAGAAAATGGTTTTTAAACCTAAATAATGTAAATGTATGATATCTTTCCATTTCCGAATTTAAATACGACTTTTATTCAGAACAAAGATCACTTTAGATTATTTGAACATTTATTTCACAATCCAATAAGTTATTATTGTATACTTTTTATCACATGTTGCTAACTTGGAGACTGTAGATAAATCAACCTTTATTTTTAATTATAATAAGAGATCAATGAACCTGAGTGTTCAACATGTTCAAAGAATAAATCAAAATGATTTTATAATTTATATATTTATAAGTTTTTTATAATTTCTATTGAAATCTTTCACAACTTGTAGAAACACAAAGCTATTCAGAATTCAACTTAATATGGCATGGGCACTTGTCTTTCTTGAATTATCTTTATATAATTTTTTTTTTTTTTGGGGGGGGGGTTTCTTGTTGTATAATTGCTGTATCTTCTAATGTTACCCATTCTTCATGACTACATTATGTCAAAATCAATTTTGGTTCTGTAATTGTTGCATAATATTGAGAAAATTTATATTTTGTATATTAATACATGTACATTCCATGTTTCAAAATCAATAAAGTTCGAATTTGTTAGTCTGAGAATATCAATTAAAAAACTATGATGCCTTTCAATGGCTTTACAAGTGCATATATAAGTCTGTGAGATATTATTAGGAGAAACAGAGTACCACATTAAGGAAGAAACACAAGCATCCAAAGAAAATTGTGTCATGTTTTGACCTCAGGTTCGGGATCAGGCTGCTGTCTTGTTGACATATACATGTAGCCCACATCATGATCATCAAACCATTTTAATAAATCCCTAGGGTATAAAGAGTACACATCTATCTTATCTGTATGTATATATTCTATAAAATAAATTATATTCTTTGTACAGGGATCCTCTAAAAATATCTACTTTTATAATGACATCCTGGCTCAATCTAAAACTTTGGATGAATATAACTTTACTATGAAAATGTATGTGCCATATGAAATTGAGTACAAATAAATCAATAAAAGGTGAAATTTTGAAAATTAATCTGCAGTTCTCCGTAGGAGTTCCATATGACATAGCACGGAGCTCAAAGTCTGTTCGTTAAGGAATTTTTTATACATAAAGGTACCAGTTAAATATACATAAATTGTTCTATTTATTGTCATAAGTACAAAATCTAGAACTTTTGAATATTCCGGATTCCATCCGTAAACGACTTTTTACATTACATTTGGGACACCTGTCCATAACAACTGCGTTTTTATTCAATGGACACGACTTTTAATGAGATCCATATTCATTAACGAACAACCTGCTTGGAAGTATACAAATAAAAAGGCACTTGACATCAACACCAACACAGTAGCTATAAACTCCATCACGGATCTCGATCAATGGTTTGTTTACAAAATAAGACTTGGGATCTTCCAAAAATAGGGGGAAATAGATCCGTAAAGAAGTTTAAAATTATAGTAATTTCTATAATTCTCATGATTTCTATCTCAAAGGTTTTTTATAATTATAAACATTAGATGGAATAATTTTGGATCGACTCACACTTTACTGACAGCCAGTTCCATAACCTGCATAAATAGAAATCCCCTACAAATGGAATATTCGGAGAACAACCATTTTTATGATACGTTGACAAATGAAACCAGTGGAATTTATCATGTGACTAAGCATGGGTATAAAAAGATCCGAGACATTATAGATTGCCTCTTTTCCACCAAACCTTAAACAACACAGGACATCAAAATGTCTTCGCAACCGACAGTGAATGGACTGAATGGCACTCACTATAAAGAAATCAATCAACATTATGCAGAGGAATGCAGCCAGGATGACATTGGAACATTTTTATTTACATCAGAATCTGTTGGCGAGGGCCACCCAGGTAGAAATTTTGACCAGTCCAAACACGTGCATGCATATTCACTGATTACATCAGTTTTAATGATTAATTAATTACTAGTTTATAGGATAATTTTTACTGTGCATTTACTTGCAATCGTATTTCATCGAATTGGATATTTCCTGTTTCAATTGGAATCAAAATACAAAAAATATAAAGCATCACAGCAACAAATTGCACTAGCTTTAAAAACAGTATAGTATATAAATATTGAGGTCACAGTATGAAAATAGATATTTGCATATATTGATATGTAAATAAATTACATTATTTCACAATACATTATTTCTGACAACTATCATATAACAAAAGTACATGTAGGGAAGAGGTCTGATCTCAAAAGGCAAAATATTTTGCAGCAATGCAGTATATAGTTTATAGGTTACCATGGAAACTGAAAATGGTGTATTTTTATTTCAAACACTTATACAAATGACAATCACAGTTTCTAATAGCCATAGAGCGAGACGGCCTTATCTTTTATGTAATGAATGGATTGTCCGAAATTTTATAATATATACAACGCTTTCTTTGAAATTGAATGTTTTATAGCTTTTAAGGTAAAAATTCTATCTTGAAGAACTAATTTATCAGATTTAAAAAAAAAAAAGGGATTGTAAGAACATAGATGTACAAATTTTTGTCTTGCCATATAGCTTGCTGTTTCGTCAGGCGTCCACAATTTGTAATTATGGTCGGTAAAAAGGGGAACCACTAATGGTAGGTCACTCATATTTGGTATGTACTATGTATTGGCATTGGCGCATTATATTATTTTGTCCTGCAACTTTAGAACTGGGTCATTATCTTTGAATGGTTTGAATAATTTTTATATGTTAAAACATTGCTATCAACATTTGCATTTTAAGTTTACTGAAATTAAATTTTCATTTTGATTTTTGAAATTTTTGTTGGAGAAACAAACGTGCTTTATAAAGCTTTAATTTCATTTTATTCCACTCAATTACAGCTTTGTTCTGTTATGAAGTGGCAATGGAAATGATTTTGAAAGTTATCTGACCTGAGAATTGTGAAAATTGTAATTTTGTACCAATTGACAGGTTGAAGAAAAAATGGGTGGATATTTCTATGAAAAGGTCTGTCTTGGATATTTTCAATAGCAATGACCCCTCCATCCACCCACACAGCCCCAAAAAGGGGTAAACAAAGAAAGTAGTCAGAGATTTGCTTGGAATGTTTTTAGGCATTTTTATGTATATCAGAAATGAACATGTCAAACAGAAAACATGGAAATTGCTGACACAATATATATAATTGAACATTTTTAAATGGAATTATTTTGTTGGCAGATAAAATATGCGACCAAGTGAGTGATGCTGTCCTGGATGCACATCTCAAACAAGATCCTAATGCAATGGTAGCATGTGAAACCCTTTCAAAAACTGGTATGATATTGGTGGCAGGAGAAATCACTTCAAAAGCAAACGTTGACTATCAGAAAGTTATTCGCGAGACAATCAAACAAATAGGATATGATGATTCAGCTAAAGGTATGATTATGATCAGTAGTTTTATATAGTGAACAGAAAAGATTAAGGCGTACAATTGTTCTAGATGCATATAGTGATCTCTACAGGCCATTTTATTTTTTACCTTTAAATTCTAGTTTAAGCAGGAATTTTTGCTTCCTAGTTGTTCTATGAACTTTCAAACCTGTATGTACTGGTGGTGTGGATTTGGATTCTTCAATCAGACCCTGTTGACACTTAATAACATAAAACAAAAATATTAAATCCAAAATTTACAGAAAAAAACTACATTGTTTTAAAACTTCAAATTCCCATAGATTGGGATTTTTTTGCCCCCGCCGTAGCGGAGGGGCATTAAGTTTTACCCTTGTCTGTACATACGTCCTGAAATTGATTACCGTTCTCTAACTTTAGTTCGCCTCATCCAAATGTTATTATACACAATGCTTATTACCACAAAACACAGATCAAGTTTGAATTTTGGTTGTGTCAGGTTTACTGTTCTAGAGTTATGCCCCTTTACAAATGGAAAAATTTCTTAATTTTTTGTTTCTGTTCTCTTACTTAAGTTTGCCTTAACCAAATCGTATGAAACCAATACACGATGCTTATTACCACAAAACTTAGATCATATACGAATTTGGGTAGCATCACTTTTACCGTTCGTGAGTTATGTCCCTTTATAACATTATATGCAAGAGGGGGCATCATATGTGTCCCATGAACACATTCCCCATTTATTTGTCGTTATTTTCACTTGTTTCAACAAACAGTAGTGCCATGTTTTTATTGTAATAGTTTCTGGAGAACAATAACTCCATCTGACAACATCATGATACGATATAAACCATTTTGGCAATCCAGGTATTCTATAAGTCGCCAGTAAGGAAAATTCTGATAAAAAATTACATTGAGTATATTTTAAAACAGAACAGTAAGATTGTCATTTAAAACCCTGTACATAAGATTCTGTGATTTAAATTGCTTTCCATATTTTTATTATCAATACAGTGAAATTTGAAAACATTTACACACATCCTGCATGTTCACTGTTCACAGAACCTAATAGGTCTTGAGTATTAAGATTATAATTATTAGATTTTTAATTATTAAAACATATTGTTATGTAAAAAGAACTTTGTATTTCATCTGATTTTATGCAGTCGTTGGGCATCTTTGCTAGAAGCCATTGTTTTGATTTATACCTGTTTTTTGGAAGATGGCATAATTTTCAAGGCACTGTTATTTATTTTGTATTCTGACCAATATGAATGGAACTTGTGTATGAATGAAAGTTGAACAATAGTAAATTATTTATTTTGCAGGATTTGACTATAAAACTTGCAATGTTTTAATTGCTTTAGAACAACAAAGTCCTGATATTGCTCAGGGTGTACATGTAGACAGAGATGAGGATGATATTGGTGCAGGAGATCAGGTTAGAAAAACGTGTTTTTAGATTTTCCTAAGTCCATTGAAAGCCAATTATTATTGTACATTTTTGAGCTAAACTGCTTCCTTGTATGTTTTATACGTACTAGACCTTACCCGCGACCTTGCGGGTCCGTGACTGAATTGAAGAACCTACGCCTTATTTTTAGCCTGGATTTTTATAATTCATATTGTCATTTTGTAAAGTCACGCTGATTATAAGGTGCACAGTTATTCCCTGTATAATGACAAAGTTCAGGTGTGATTATTACCTGTGTTTATAGCAAATCCTGAAAACATCGTTTGGTTGTGCATCTGACATAGGCGTAACGTACAGATTAGGTAACAGGGATCAGGTAATTTTGTGACATATACTATTGGAATCGGTATCGGATTCGACCCGGAACTTGTTTATTATTGGTAATATTAATTATGTGGAAAACAAAAGGGCCTGGAATGGTGTAATTTTTAATCTACACCATTGTCCTATATTATTTATCATGTTTATATATAAAGTTAAATTCTGCGGGCAGTACATCGACTGAGCATGTGCAAAAGCGTATAAGACACCGATGGATAACGGTCACTGAATTTGGATATTTTCTCAAAAATTGACGTTTTCTGTGGAAAAAAGATTCTTTCAAAGACAAATTTATGAAGTACAAAACACTTCAAGAGGAGTTGCGGCTCAATAAAATCGGTCTCTTCCTTTAGTAGTATAGATAAGGCAAAATAAATAACAGGTGTTTCTTGATGCATACTCCTAAGAAATAGGATCGGTAGGTAGGGATATTTTTTATTAGAATTTTTATCATCAAATTATGTTCAAGACCTGTTAGATGTCATGTTATTAGATAGTCATCTTCATACTGAAAAATGAGGTTCACAAAATAAGCAACATTGTTCAAGATTTCTTAGTTTTACTTCAATGTTTATACTTTTACAGGGATTGATGTTTGGTTATGCTACAAATGAAACAGAAGAATGCATGCCATTAACAGTTGTCTTGTCACATCAGCTTAACGCTAAGATCGCACAGCTACGCAGAAGTGGAGAATTGCCGTGGGCAAGACCAGATTCTAAAACACAGGTAATAAAATTATGTATGTTTTCTGTTATCTCCTTTCTCACATTTTGAAGTAGAATCAATGAAATACAGAGCAAGGTTAAAGTCCTTTCGATTGCTTGAGAAAAGCTTTATAATGGAAAAAGGATGCATGAATGACAGTTTGCTGTGTTTTTGACACTGTCGGTCCTCCAGTAGTTTAGTAATTACCAAAAACCTCGTAATTATTGTCACTTGATTTATTGTATAAATAATTAAGTATTGAATAATTCATACATCAGATTACCAATATGAATAACCAATAAACTCATTTGGGAAATTATAAGTACACACTTTCAATTTTTTAACAATTTAGAATGTCACTATTCCATTGGTTTACTTGGAAGTTGTACTATTGGAGTGTTACATGGAAATCCATTCAAGATGGTAAACAGGCAGTCATTTATTGAACTTTTTTACCCATGTGTAAGGATAAACATTTATGCAATATGATTAAAAAAAAGAAGTTGGTTTAATTCCAAATAAGTACCCACTGTAATTATTAGAC